CCGCCTGCAGCCCCTGGAGAGGCTGGGGGGGGGTGTGGGGTGTCACCACCCACAGACACGCTGAGCCCAGTGACTCAGGGCGGGAGGGAGACTTTGCTCCAGCAGCCGGGGACAGACCCAGCCCGGGAGAGCGGCCGCACCGCTGCAGCGGGGCCGTCCCGAGGGGCCAGGCCACGTATGGCTTTGCCCCTGCATGGGGCCGGGAGGGGCCCCCGCCCCCCGGCCGGTTCTCTGGTGGTTGTGTCTGTTCCCCACTGCGCGGCTCGGGGCCTTTGTGCGATGTGAGCAGCGCTTGGCCGCAGCCACCACGCCTCAGCTGGAAGTTGTTGCTGCAGAGCCAACAGCCCTGGTGCCACGGGCACCGGCAGCTCTGCGTGGGGTCGGTGGGAGGGCTGTGCAGAGCTGCAGCCCTGGGGGGTGCTGCGGGAGGGGGGACACAGCCCCTGTGCTGCCCAGCGAGGGGAGGTGGGTTTAGAAGAGGTGAATTACCGCAAATTCAGAATAGGTGCTGGCAACAGAATTAACGCTGTGGTTACGCTGGGCAGGGACTGTGGGGGTGCACCCACCGCTCAGGGTGGTTCCGTTCAGCTGGGACACGTTCTCCTTGTTCCGCTCCCTGTATCCAGGACGGGGGGGCTTCGCAGCCGCACGGCTGGGGGTCCGAGCCTGGCCAAACTGTGGGAAGAAGTGACAGTTAAGATGGGACACAAGAATCAAGCAGAGCTGGGGGAGCTGTGCAAGCTTTGCTGCTTTGCAGTACCGTAGCTTGCAGCTCCAGGAGCCCTCCAGGGTCCAGGGCCCATTTCTGACCCCAGAAACACACAGCACCGCACCCACGTTTTGAAGGTCCCCAGAGAGGGACAGAGGTACGCTAGAAATCTGGGCTGGAGGAAGACTGCCTGAACGCTGCTACTACCCTTCTCCTCCCTCAGGTCCCAGAAATTTCCTGTCAGGGTAGCAGCAGCAGCCCAGCACAGCAGGCTACCGACAGACCGGGGCTTTTGCACCCCCGATGCTGGGCAGGGAGGCAGGGAAGCACAGCGTGACCGCAGCCGGAGCTGTGCCGTCCCAGCTCCCGGCTTGGCCGGGGCTCCCTGGGAAGCTCCCCTCCTTCCCTCCGGGAGGTGGCAGCCGGGATGTTGGCGAGTGGAAGATGGTTCCCCCGAAAGCCGAACGAACGGTGCTGTTGGGTGTGGCGCTGGAGATGGAAGTGCCGTTGAGCTGCGGGGAGAAGCAGAGCACGCGTCAGACGGGGAGGAAGCCGGGGCTGCACTGCGCCAGGGAAACCACAGTGGAAGTCCCGGCTGCACGGAGCCTTCTGCCTCCAGAGCACCGCAGCGCAAGAGGCAGGGCCGTGCCCAGGGGGAACGGAGCTGCCCAGGGCCCGCGCCCCTTCCCCGCCACCCGGACGCTGACGC